TTACACTATTATTAATTTTTTTTTAAAAAAGGAAAGTTAAATGTTGATTTCTTCTTTTTTGGGGGCCCTAAATTAAGTTTTGGCAAGATTTTGATTCCCTAGTGAAAAGTAAAAAATATTTGATATAATAATTGAGACAAGCGCAAATTAACCAAGCACTATTTCACGGTGCTTTTAAGGTTGTTAATACTTTAGGGATGAAAAATATAATTCATATCAAATTTAGGGGTATTTTCAATAGTACTCTTCTCAATCATATACCCGTTTTGAGAATAAACTAATATAATTTTGTGATCAAAAGTTTCACTTTTATGGGAAACAATTTCATTTTTAGAGCTCGAAATTGATTTTTACGAGTTATGATGAAAGGGATACTTACCCCACTAGAGGTTGTGCTAGAGGATAACTTATGAGTTTGATCGAATCCAATAGTTGTGCTCAAAACTATATATTTATAAAAAAAAATAAATCATTAAATATATATATAAGTTATTTACTCAAAAACTACATTTAAGTTTTGCTAAGTTGTTGGGTTCTTTCCACCACTAGAAAAATCATTAAATATAATTAAGATGTGCATTAATTAAAAATAAAAATTTGAATTCTTCACTCTCAGGGGACCTAAGTTGAATTTTGCCAAGTGTTCTTCTTATTCCCTCTACCGATGAAAGATAGCAAGTATTCAATAATATAATTAATATAAGCATAACTTGATCGAACACAACCGACATTAATAGACAAATAAAAACTCAATGAAAAGGTGACTTCTCCTTCTTCTTGGGGGACCTAAGTTGAGTTTTGTCAAGTATTTGATTTCATCCACAAGTAAGAAACAACAAGAATTCGATAATATAACTAAGACGTACACAATTCGATCGAACACTATTGTTATTGATTTTAAAAAATTGAAAACTCAATAAAAATCCTTTTTGGTGGGAACCTAAGTTGAATTTTGCCAAGATTTTTGTTTCCTCCAATCTCCACCAATGAAAAGTAACAAGTACTTAATAATACAATCGAGATACACATAAACTGATCGAACGATTATCATCATTAATAGACAAAGAAAACTCAATGAAAATATAGGGGACCTAAGTTTAGTTTTGTCAAGATTTTGTTTCCCTTCAAAAAAAAATGTGTGGTTTAGGAATATTTTTATTTTTGTTTTATTTTATTTTATTTTATTTTTAAATTTAGTTGGAACAGGCTGTAAATGGGGTCCACACGGTTAAGTGGCATAATCAATGAGCTGTGAACGGTGGCTTAGCGGCGCATATAGGCCAAGCCGATTCCTTTTGTAGTTTTTTGCGTGTTGTCTTCCAACACTTTTTTCTTTTTTTGGTGCTTTCTCCAATTTTCTTGTGGTTTTATGTTTTTTGTCGGGGTTCGATATTTGTATTGAAATTATAGAAAAAAGTAATAAAAACACCCCAAAATTAATGTGAATTATTAGTTTCATTTTTGAATTATTGATAACCTTAAAAAATATTTTTACTTGACTAACTGAACTTTAAATACACTTCTAATCTTGCAACATGAGTGGAATACAACCTTGAATTCTCGTCAAGTTTAAGGGTGTTTTCAACGTTTATATCGGCTTTTTATTAAGAGTTCATGCTCTTACAAGAGTTTAAGATTACTTACTATGCATGTGGTAGATCAAAGGTGTATCTAAATTTAGTTAGGCAAGTAGAGATGTGTTTTTAAGGCAGTCAATAGTTCGGAGTATTTTCAAAACTTTACTCAAATTCATAAAATTTGAAATTTCATCAAAAGGTTTTAAAACAAAATAAAGTATTCTTAATAATAGTGATCTTATATTCAAGGTTTGAATTTAATTTTTTTATTAAAAATGAATGAATACTTATTAGTATGAGATGTTCAGTATTTTCAAAGTTCGATTCGATAATTTTATAATTAGTAATTGAAAGTAGATATTAGATACTCCCTCTGTTTAAAAAAGAATGACTCAATTTCCTTTTTAGTCTGTTTAAAAAAGAATGACCTCTTCCTTTTTTGGCAACACTTTAACTTCAATTTTTCACATGACATATTTACACAAAACATTTTGATACATTTGATAGAACTTTAATTTAGAACCATAAAATTAAAAAATCTTTTTTTCTTAAACGTCATTCCAAATCAAATTAGATCATCCTTTTTGAAATGGAGGGAGTATCAAATTTTAAATTTCAATCTGATAAATAAAATTTAGATAAGATAATCAATCTCTTCATAATTCTAATATACTATTAGTAGTTGTCCTTTATTTTTATTTTTATTTTTAAAGGTAATAAATGAATTTTAGTAGGAACATTGGAGTGGAATTCATTGAATGTGGAATATAATGAAACCACCAACTTTTAAATGATTGGACAAATACATTACTATTTTTTTTTTCTTTTTTTCAAGGTTTGAATGAAAATACAACAAAAATCACCTGTTTTTGGAGGAACATTGGTTAACATTTAAAATAGTTCCTTCTATTTAAATTACTAGTATCTGTGTTTAATAGTGACATTATGTGTCAGAGAAAAAAACTAATAATAAGTTGTCAATATAGATTAGACCTGTGAAATAAATATATCTTTGTCACTAACTAATTTGATAGTAAAGATTATTATTTTTTAACCTTTTTAATATTGCTCTAGATAATTGACCAAATTTGGATTATTTAGATCAGAATTCATTTCCAAAGTTTGAAAATAATTTTAAATCACAATTTTATAAATATAATTATAAGCATTCATTTCTTTGACAACACTTTTTATAGGATATTTTTAAAATTTAAAGAGGGTTGAATTTGAGATTTCTAATTAAGGATATATGCATGCTCTTCGAGTTTTTTTGGCGTTTCCTAGTTTGACGATTTTTTGCAACAAAATTAAAAATAGGATTTTGTTTGGACATAAATATTACCCAAAAATTGTATTTATAGCTTCTTTAGTACATAAAGAAATTTAATCCAATGCTTGTGGAATACAGAAAAGCCAATCATAAGCCTCTTTCGTTTAATTTTAGTTGTCAAGAATTAACGTGACACGTTTTTAAAGAGTAATAAATAGAAAAATAATTTTATTATATCACTTTTTAAATATAAATTTAATTAAAACATGCATTGAGAAATAATTAGTATGTAATCAGAATATATTAGAAATTAAGTAATAAATTACATTTAATTTTTTAAATTGGAATATAATTAAAGTATATATCTATTTTTAGTATAATGGACTAATAAAGTGGATGGAGAGAGACCCTTCGGGGTGGCCCAGTGGTTTGGGTTTGGGACTTCCATGTTGGAGGTCTCAAGTTTGAAACCCTTTGCCAGCGAAAGCAAGGGGTTTGCCTTCTGGGTCGAGCTCGTCGCACCGGGCATGCCTAGTGTGGGTTACCTCTCCTATGTGGTTTGCGAGCTATTGCATAGGAGCGGGAGTTTTACCCTGTGCGCACCCAAAG